AACTAAAACCACTAAAACATTTATTGGGCAGTTCCTACATGCACTTGATATACACTGTATAAATACTAATTTTTTTTAATTCTTAAAAAACCCTAAGAGGTAGGTCTTTAACATGCTGTACTTATCTCACTTTGATAGGGCTCTTCCATTTTAAATTATACTTGTATAGTTGCCTGAATTGTTTAAAAGGCAGAGACTGCTGAACTGAAAACTAATTGGTCAAAAATTTTAGGGATTATCTTAATTACTCAATCAAATAATTTCAACTCTAATTGTTTATTAAAAGACCCGTGCAAAGGACAAAAACAACCTAGAATTCAAAGATGGGATATAACACTATTTTAGCAAAGGTGGTTTTAAAACATATTTTATTTGTACATGTTTTATTGTATTTCAGAGCCTTTTGAATGGACTGATGTGTTCTAAGCCTGAAGACCCAGTAGAGTACTTGGAAAGTTGTTTACAGAAAGTAAAGGAACTAGGTGGCTGTGACAAGGTGAAATGGGATACATTTGTCAGCCAGGAAAAGAAGACTTTACCTCCGCTAAATGGAGGACAGTCACGGAGATCCTTTCTAAGAAATGGTAATGTATATGTAGAATAATAGACAGTTTTATATTTATAGCAATTTTTTTTAAAACATACCATATAGACTATAGGCAGTGATTTCATTTATTTGGTTTACAAGTGCCTGGAAGAATATAAGGCCCTGGAACATGATTAATCTCTCTCTGCGACTTATTCTAATCACCTACATGAGAAGACAAACAAGATTATATACCATTGTCCAGCAGTTCACTAAAGACTTAATGAAATTTTATATTACTGACTTCATTATTTTGCAAAATGAATTATATTAGCAAACCATGAATTTTTCTTAAAATTGCAAATAAGATTTTTCTAAATGAATGAGTAGAATACAAATAAAATTGGTAGTTAGTATGTAACAATTCAACATTTTTCACTAGCTGGAAAAGAGATTTGGCTTATTAATATGTTTCCAAGTTCAGAGTTCATATTAATGCTTCTGCATAAATGCATGTAAAGTTTATACTGTTAATTAAATAAAGATTTATTAAGCAGCTACTGAATGCAATGTATTAGATTAGGCATCTGGGTGCTATGAAAGAAGTAGAAGTAAACGTGTTTAAATTTTAAAAGTAGTTTGGAATTAAGAATTGGAGTTTGTTGCAAAGGATTTGTGGTGTTCTGATCTCTTTCTGAAATATGTGCTTATCAAAATTAGGTGTTCAACATGAGCTAATCAGCCTTGCAGACTGTAGATGAAGTTGAGAAGTATAATAGCCTGTGCAAAATGGGATCAGTACCAATATGGGAAAACTAAATTAATTCTTTTCTAGTAGCCAAGATCATTATATTTTCAACACCTAAACCATTCTCAAAAATTGTACCACAAAAAGTTTTAGCCACACAGACAGAATTTGAAGTGGAGACCATTTTATTTGCAATAAATATAATCAGGAAACAAATCTTAGTCTGCTTAACCTTATTCTGTCATGACCCACTTAGATTTTATTTGAATGCAGTGTGGGGAAAAGTCATAATGTGCTAATTTTTAAGAAACACAAGCAGAAGAGGGCAAGTAGAAATAACATTTCCTCAGAAACATCTCCAAAGAGGAGGAGAGTCCTTCCCTATTCATTTAGGAGTCAATACTAGGTGATTTAGGTTTGGAAACTCCTATGTTTTGATGGAAGATGATATGACTTCTGACCGAATTTCCCAGTGCTGCTGAGAAGCAACTGGATATCTGAACTTGCTATTTAAAACTAATTTCAGAAATCTTCAAATGTTATCACAGACCAAAAGTCAGAGAAATAATTAGAAAACATTTC